ATAAATAAATAAATAAAATAAACAAATGTAAGAAAGGCAACAGTAAAAATATTGGGTTTCTGTCTGGATGGTCTGTTGTGACACGCCGATCGCCAGAGAATGGAAGCAGTAGACTTCCTCCCATATTTGGGCATACCAGGGGTTGTGACACTAAATAAATAAATAAATATATAAATAAATAAATAAATAAATACATAAATAAATAAATACATACATACATACACATACATACACACATATATATACATACATACAAACAAACATACATACAAACACACATACATACAAACACATACACACAAATGTGCAGTAATATATAAACAAAAATGTGATAACATCAATCATATTATAACATATATTATCTCCCATTATTTTATAGATTATATAACCGTCAAAAATATTTACTCGTTTTTTTTCTCCTATAAACCATATTTCACCTAATTCCACTCCTCTAGCCTCAATATTTGTCATTTAACCATTTATAGAATAGTCCCCATGTTATGAAATAGTCCGAATCTTCTTTTCCTTTAATTTTTAGGGTTAACCTAGGACAGTGATGGTAAACGTTTTTCTTCTTAAGTGCCAAAAGGGTGCGGGTGTGCAATAGTGTGTGCATGTGTGCCTACATCCATAATGCAATGCCTCCCATGCATGTGCACACAACCCTCCGTGCATGCACGCCGGCCTCACGAAAACCTCTGGACTTCCGGTAGGACCGTTGGGCCATTTTTCGCCCTCCCCAGATTGCTTTCATTAGATTGAAAGCAACATTGCTACAAATCAGTGCTGCTTTCATTATTTGCTCCCTGTCTCTTCTATTTCAGTGAGATTTTTTCCCCTTCAGATGATGATCTCTAAGAATCATGGGATCATGTAGCTGCGGTTGTGGCCATCCACAGCTCTATTTTTTTTAAAAAAAGGATTATTTTTACACTTGTGCTAAGATTGTAATGTCTAAATAAGGCTTCGCTCATTTAGAGCATAAAAAAATAACAATATTTTTCTTTTTAAGTTGTTTCATAGCGAAATCCAGAAATGAGCCATGGGAATACCATCTGGAGTTGCAGAGAGAGTTTTATCTTGTTCAAGTCTGTTTGTGAGTCTTTAGTCAAATTTGTAGGCTGAAAAGAACTACTTTTCATACCCAAATCCTATCTTTCATTCCACAACTTAAGGTAATGTACCTGTTTTTTTATTCACAACATTATTGAGGAAGGCAGCTATGGTTAAAAACCATGTCTAGGTCAACATGTCCAATCAAAATTATGGCTGAATTGATAGCAGAACATGGATCTTTCTTTCCCATTTCCCATGGGTCCACAAACCAAATATGACTCTGAAACCATGGCACCACACTCATGTTCAAGGAAATAGTACTTACAAGGGGACATGCCACATCCATCATCTAGAAAGCACAGGATAAATCCTCCCCGCAGGTTATCATTTTTCACTGAAAGAGAACACATGGAAAAGAGAAGTTTTGTTCTTAGTTCCCTCCACAGTAGTATCTGTATTGGATTTTTTCAACTTTGGCAACTAAGGCATGTAAACTTCAACCCCAACAATTCCCCAGCCAGATAATTGAGTGAGGAATTCTGGAAGTTGAAATCCATGTCTTACAGTTGCCACGGTTGAAAAATCGTGTTTTAGAGAAAGCCAACCAGGCATATAGAAAAGGTAGGTGGTACGTCGCCTTACCTGCACACTTCTCTGCCCCCTTCAGAAGTGGCAGAGCTTATATGAAAAAAAAAAAAAACATGGAAGGAGGGAATCAGAGGGAAGGGAAATCCAAGGAACTAATTGATTGATCCAAGGAACTTACTGATCTCTTCCCTATTTTTTATAACTTTATGCTGAAGGTTGTAATAATTTCCATTTCTTCTTATTGATCTCTTCCCTATTTTTTATAACTTTATGCTGAAGTTTGCAATAAAGTTATTTCCATTTCTTCAGCAATGGCTTAAATTTAAATAAATTAAATTTTCTTCTGGCCAATATTGCGCATCTACTTAATCTCAAATAAGATGCAGCAAACTCTATGCATCCCTATAAAGCCTAGGCTATACCACACTTCACCACCACCACCACCCCGGCAACCATCTAAAAGTTGATATAAAATTATAAATTAGCAGAGGGAGAAAAACACATGAGAAATAAGTCTAACAAATAGGTTTAGTTAGTTTAATTATAATGAAGCCCAAGTTAAATGAAATGGAGCCGTTTCTGGTAATGCCCACTTTATGGAATTAACACACTACTCAAAAGACAACTGAAGTCCTCAGAGAATAAAAGACTGCACATTCCTCTCTCATATTTAGCCAAAACATGCTTAGTATGCCATCAAATTCAGTATGATTTTTTCTTTCCCTCATCCCCATATATGTAAGATCTTTACCTTCTCTTTCTTCTAGTTGATAAACAAACCAACAAGTGCCAGATTAGTTTTATCATGTTTACATTTGTATGTATTACCGTTTAATAAACGATTATTTATTTATAAGCCAAGCTCTCTCTCTTTCTGGGTGTATGTGTTTGTGTGTATACCAGTGATGGTGAACCTTTTCGGCACTCAGTGCCCAAACTGGAATGTCCATGCATGCGTGCGTACCGGAGTGCTGGAAAACGGAAGACCAGCTGGCCGGCGCACGCATCCCTGTTTTTTGACCATTTGGGGGGCTGTTTTCAGGCCATTTTGGGGGGCATTTCCAGGCAGTTTTTCAGGTAGTGTTCAGGTCATTTCCCAACCAGCACTCCAGTGCCCACGAAGACCAACTTGCCCGAAAATGCCCCAGAAAACAGCCACAAAAATCCCCCGGTTTTTGGATGTATTTCAGGCCAGTTTCAGACTGGTTTTAGGGCTGGTTTCAGGCCAGCTGCTCTTTGCAGGCGCTGGAGCACTGGAAAACAACCCGAACACCAGCCTAAAACCAGCCTGAAAATGGCCTTCAAAAAGGCCCCAAACTGGCCTCAAAACAGCCTGTTTTTTGGGCATTTTTCAGGTTGTTTTCTGGCACTCTGATGCCCATGAAGACTAGCTGGCTGGCATGCATGTGTGCACCAGAAACCAGAGGAGCAGCTGATGATGGCACGCATGCCCACAGAGAAGGCTCTGCGTGCCACTTCTGGCAGGCGTGCCATAAGTTCACCATCACAGGTCTATTCAGTGCATTCATAAAGTATTCAGATCCCCTGCACTTTTGCCAATTTTGTTATGCTGCAGCCTGATTGTACAACTGAAATTCATTTTTTTCTCATTAATCTATACTCAGTAAATGCATTGTATGTGTGCCTGCATATGTATGTGTACATGTATGTATATGTATATAAAAAGATATATGCTACCAGACCTTTAGGTTAAAGACAGGAACATCATTATAACTTCTACCCAGGTAAAGGCCTTGTTAAATAGGAAGAAAGAAATCTTCCAAATCACAAGGGAGCTAATGTAACTTTAATGCAGTATTCAATAAAACAATGCAATCAAGGAAAGAAGTCACTGAAAAGTACATATTTAATATCTAGAGTATTTATATAGAACTCACCAGTATAAATGTCAAGTCTTGTGGCACCAGCATCTCTGAAAATATTGTTTAGATATTCAAAATATTAAAAGCAAAACACAAGAGTAATAATAAGTATTACCTTTTTACTTAGAATTTATGTCCCGGAAATGCAAAAAACTCTAGTTTAAATTGTATCAACTCATATTAATATGAATTGCCACTGAACGGCAAAATAAAAACACAATAAAATTTAATTGAATAGCTACAATAAAGTGTAAGTTATAAGCCCACCAAACCAGTGGATTAAACATACAGAAAGGCAAAAGAATTGGAGTATTGGGACTGCGCTGTAGACTGAATTCTCCCATCTACATCTAGAATTCTAGTTCAAACCCCAGAAAAAGAGGCCAAAAGATTTTTTTCCCCTCAGCCCTCCATTTTCCCAATCTGGAGAAATTAAATGATTGTTTTTAAAAAAACAATGCTAAGACTGAGCAAGCAAACCAAAAAGAGAGCTATCTTCCTCTTGCATCTATTTACCCTGCCCAACTGTATCACAAGAACTTGACTATGTTGAGATATACTGAAAGGGGTACTGGTTTGCTCTGCCAAACTCAAAGGTAGTTTTTAAAGAAATGTCAGTGCACTTGGCACATAATGTGAGCAGTTCTATGGTGAAAACAACCACACAAAAAATAGCATTGGGGAAGTGAACTTGCAGTTAATTTGACATGAACTCCCATTCCTACAATTTATAAGGGCATTGAAAAATAAGAATGATGTTTTGTTTACTATCATCCTCATGGCTGATTATTTTATATTGCCTATTGTGCCTTTTCTGGGTTAGTTTCATGTTCAATAATAGTTTTTACTAGTTTGTACATCAGCCAGAAACTGCAGTTAGAAGCGTAGTAAATAAGCCTTAAGAAGGTTCACTATATACAAGAGAGATATACAAGACTAAAGCTGATTTCTTAAATAACAGCATTTAATTAAATGAAGCAAAAGAAACAACCAATTAGATTTTTTTTTATCAGTCCATACCACCTTGGCCAGAAGCTCCATTATCAGGGTTGGAAGGATCCAGTCCCTGAATTCCTGACTCAGTGAGAAGGTCCAGCCTTCAGGTGTACAGTAAGTAGCTACTATTGCAGTAGAGCAAGATTCCCACTACAGGCATGGTGGAATGTCAATTGCTAGAACTCCCACCCAGCCAAAATAATATTGGATATTTTTAAAAAAACCTAACCCATCTAAATGCAAAGTATTGGAGAAGGCTATAGAAGACATTGGCTTTATTCAGTTTTTCAGCCATTGCTGTTCTGTTGATGCAAAATCTGAATGAAGCTGGTCTAAGAATCCATATTATTATTGTCTAAATTGGGGAAAAAATAAAATAGCAAAAAACAGGCCACTGGGAAAGGCACTCAGGTACCAGAATGAAAAGTGTAGCTTATTATAAAACATGGACTTTAAAAGCAACATATTTACCGTGAATTGTCAATCAATTCAGCTATTGCTCCAAAAACGAAGTCGTGTGTTGTGCTAGAAAGAAGCATTAAGGTAATTTTAACACAAAAGAAGCAAGAAAACGCAGGGATGAATTACACATGCAGAAAATGGCAACACAAAAAAAGGATTTGGAGTGTGTTAGAACCCCACAGATTTTGAAATATGAAAAAGTCAAAAGGGAAGGTGGGGGGAGATAAATACTGCTTTGAGAGATATTGGTGCTTATGTGGGAAAGTAATAGCAATCAATTTTCTATATGCCATAGCAAAATAGAATTCTTTATTGGCCAAGCGTGATTGGATGCACAAGGAATTTGTCTCCTGTGCATAAGCTCTCAGTGTATCTAAAAGCAACAAGTGATAAATCATGATCATAATCATAAAATATGATCATCATAAATTGTAAGATACACCCCTAACTAGCAGACAAGAACAGGGACCACATGCTTAGTTCAAACACTAAGTTTAGGACAGGGGAAAAGGCATGCCTTTTTAATTGAACCTTATAGATCTTCAACATTTCTTTTAATGTTTCTGGTTTATTCTTGATCTTTATTTATTCGTGATTGATCTTACTTCTTTCATTTTCAGATTTACTGTTAGATTTGTTTCTAACCAATCTGATTAATGATTACAATGCAGATTGACTGGGTTCCCTAGGATGTCATTGCCTAAAATTAAAAACCTGTTCCTAGTTACCTGAGAATTACCACCAAAGGCAAGAGGACTTACCGTTGACCCGAGTAGTAGTACTTAATAATCTTAATGTATAAAACATGCAACTCTGTTCGGTATTAAGACACAACTTCTTAAAGCATTTATTATCATGAAATATCGCGGGCCTAAAAGATGTAATCCCCAAAAGTTTTGTGTGCTGGCGAAAGTACCCATCTATGGGATAACACAAGTTCGGGAACTTTTATTCCATCGAAACCAGGAGGACTCATTCCCAAGCAAACCCTTTATGCGGAACGGCACAGAAACAACTCCCTGCCCTCTGTTTGTCTAGTTAAAAATGTTTTCCATTCTTGGGACATTTTAAAGATGTGTGGACTTCCAACTCCCTGGATTTCCCAGTTTGAAAAACTCTTGGACAACCGTTTGACCCGCGCTTTTGTAATGTCATTATTCCTCGGGTTTAAAGAATGGAAGATACTTTATAGAAAAGGGAGCCGTCCTGCAGTTATCAGTATTATTCAAGAAAACGGACTCCCCGCCCCTTACTGCCCATTGAAGGCAGAGCCTAATGAAGGTACCGACGCCCCAAAAAGTGGCTGCCTCTTGTCTCACTCACGAGTTTGCATGCAAAAAATCCAGCGTTAACTCCGCCCTACAGAGACTCCCATAAAGAGCCGCCTCGGCCATCGGCGCTGCCAAGGAGAAGCAGCCCCGAACAGAGTCATCAACAGAGCCAACTCCTTCTTTCGCCGCCCACGCGCAACGCAGCGCGACCAGGGCGTGGCTGCGAAAGGGCTACGGCACAAGGAAGGGCAAGAGAGAGAGAGAGAGAGAGAGAGTGAGAGACGGACTGTAGGCGCCCTCTTGTGGAGATAGCGATGTGAACAATCTTGTGAGCAACGTGCGACCGGCGAAACTTTAGGAGTCCAAACTACTGTACGGAACGGCTTATTCATTACTATGTACAGTAATTCTCATCAACCACAATCACTTTTAGTGGGCGTAAATAATCGTTATACTCTTATCACAGAGAGCAAGTTTAGTGTAGTGGTTAAGGCGCTAGGCTGCTATCTGGGAGTCTGATTTAGGCACAATGCCAACTTAGTGACTCTCTTTCAACCTTAAGGAGGCAGTAGTAAACTGCGTCCAAAACGCTTGCCAAGAAAACGGCAGGGATTTCTTTAGACAGGCGACCAGGGGTCGAGTGACTCAAAGCTCGCGTTCACAACAACCCGCCCCTGCCCCGCCATCCATCATATCTGTAGTAAGGTGCATTGGAACTTGGGTGGTTTGTAAATAAGACTGAACGACATTGTAGCCAAACCCGTCGTTTCAAATGGCAGCTTCAGAGATGATGGCTTGCAGTTAAGTGAATTGCAGCTCCTCTGAAAAAAGCATACATATTGGAAGATTTAACAGTTAGGAATTGTAATTGTCCTTCTCTAGATTCAATTATCTAGAGCAGTGTTCCCCAACCTTGGCAACTTGAAGATGTCTGGACTGGCTGGGGAATTCTGGGAGTTGAAATCTGGAAATCTTCAAGTTGCCAAGGTTGGGGATCACTGATCTAGAGAAACAGCTCCTCTTTCAAACAGTGAAGGAAAAGCCATCGGTCAATCTTTCTTTGATTCAAATTCCTTTGGTGAGAAACATGTTGTATTTGGTGGCTGAAATGACCCCTTTCATCTCCACTTTTATGTAATAAAGAAAACAACTATTATTTGCTGGCAAATGAATGCATTTGCAGTGCTAAGTAACACTTGAGATTTGCTTGTTTATTTTTTATTTTTTGTATGATGAAAGAAGACTTCCATTTGTATCTTGTCAATGCAAAAGGCTAACAGACTCCCATACTGGTACCATAGCATATAGCAATAGCAATAGCAATAGCAGTTAGACTTATATACCGCTTCATAGGGCTTTCAGCCCTCTCTAAGCGGTTTACAGAGTCAGCATATTGCCCCCAACAATCCGGGTCCTCATTTTACCCACCTCGGAAGGATGGAAGGATGGAAGGCTGAGTCAACCTTGAGCCGGTGAGATTTGAACAGCCGAACTGCAGAACTGCAGTCAGCTGAAGTAGCCTGCAGTGCTGCATTTAACCACTGTGCCACCTCGGCTCCTATCTTTCCTAAGAATTGAGAATTTTTAGGACTATTTCAGACATCAGATTCATGTAGCAGGATGCGAGATCCTTCTCACATATTTTCCATAACCTGTGTGGAATTTCTTTCACAATATTCAGTGAGAGAAAAAAAGACATATATACTTTGAAAATGATTCAAAAGAGGATTTTTGAAAAGAGCAGAGATATGCCTGAAGCATCCTTTCAAAGCAGATTCAAAAAACCATGGCTGCTTTGAAGAGCTCCGGAAGCTCCACACTGACAAGGGCCAAGGCCAATTTTCTGTATTATTTTCAAAGCATTCACAATTGTAATATCTATAACAATTGCTATATTCTGACCTATTTTAATAGGTTTTTTTCCCTATACATGACCTATATTACTCAGGATAATTTGCTGAGTAATCCTTGGTAAATGGATTTAATCAAAGGTGGGGTCAAACACCAAAATACATAAGAACATCCCTTTTCCTCTGACTTTGGCATTGTCTTGTCTGAGGCAAGGTCTAGATTAGTGTTTCTTAATTGTAGCATGTGTGGACTTCAACTCCCAGAATTCCCTAGCCAGGATAGCTGGTTGTTGAATGATCTAGATCTGAGCTCAAGGAATTCTGGGAATCAGTCTACAAATCATAAAAGGACCATAGTTCTGATACCCCTGGTTTAAATATTAAAGATCATGGAAGGGTTGCTTCCTTTTGATAAATGCTTGGATTCGAAGCACCCATTTGGTAAAGAGCCATAATGTCCAGCTTCCGCCGACCCACCCAGATGCTTCTGCGCATGCACAGAAGAGTCATGTGCGCATGGGCACTAGCAAACCGGAAGTAAAATAAATTGAAACCCACTACTGTAAGTAGGACAGCGGAAGTGTAGAAACCAGTTGTATTAATGCAAACTGGTTCAAAGAAGTGATTAGTTCTGACAAAATCCTTTCATGAATCTTGGTGAGGAAGCTAAAATTACCCAAGGATTACAAGATGTCTTAAAGCTACAAGTTGCCCTCCCCAATTTACCACATGAAAAAAAACCTCAAAAATATTCAAGCCATTGTTTTAAAATATTTTTTTAATGGCATGCTCTTAATAGCTTGATTGTAAACTTCTCCACTCCATGCTTGCTTAATATCTCATCCATATTGGCTTAGTATGTAGTTGCACAATAATAAATTTGGAAGGCAGATGACAGGTAGAGATGCTGATAGAAATCTGCCTGCACATCCTCAGGTAGTGGAATGATGATCAGGTAGGAGGATATGGAAAGAAGATTCCTTAAGTTATCCTAACCTAATCTAACCTAGGTAGCTGTAGAAGAGAAGCACCAACACTGAAGGATGTTGTTTATGGTTTCCTTACATTGGGGAACAGAAAAAGGGGACCATATTTGTCCTCATTTCAAGAAGGAATGTAGTTTCTCCCAGCTTTGCTCACAAGGCAAAAATACTGGAAACGTGTTTGCAATAAAGTTTAAAGTTTAATGGGTCCAGTGTCCATTCAAAGAAGGGGAAAAACATGTCTTATGTGAATCAAAACTTCCATGTAAGAAAGTCTAAAGGGCACAGAGAGGTCGATGGAACATGAAAATGTAACAATGGACTCTGCCCTCTTTCTGCACAACTGTTCAGACACAGAGTAAATGATTGATAAAGCAAAGGGAATCAAATGGTCAAAAGGATACAATTTTTACTATTCCAAGCCAGAGAAGTCGCCATGAGTATTATAACGCTTTATGTGGTGACCTGTGTTGCTTTGCTTACAGGTAAGCTTTTCAAACACATTATGCTTGTTCTTGAAATATGCATATTAATTTTGGTTGAATGAATTACTGAGATTCAGGAAGAACTGCATGAAAGTGCTCTTAAACCTATAAAATTCAATGGTTATAATTGATTGCAACTGGAAGTTATGGTGACTCAGATGAGATGTATTTTTTTCTTTCAAAATAATGTTTGTTTTGAGGTTGGAATGCTAATAGGATTATAAAAAGCAATCTAATAAATATAAGTATAAGTATAATCTTTATTGTCATTGTACTTAAATATTGATATTGACATTTCTTCCAAAAATATCATGCTTAGTAATATTAAAATATTGAAAACTTTTTCCTTCGCATGGTACTCTGGAATATAACTAACATGAAGTATAACTACATTTTTCATTATGTTATGTGATAATTTGGTCAGACCATTAGCTGGTGTGACCAAAAGATATGAGTAGGATCTAGCATTCAGGAAAAGGCCCAATGAGGGGATATGTATTATGGCATTACCTATGATTGATGGAACATACATAATTCATGTCATTTGTGTGATGACCCCTACATGACACATATGTCAATTGCCTCCATGCAGATGCCGTGGTAGAGCACATCTGAAGATCATCAGATTAGAGAAATCTGGCATACAGCAGAATATTTTAGATTTTGTTTATGCTCCAAACCCATAACTGTCAAACCTGTGGCTTTGTCGTTTCAGAAGCTTGGGGACTACCATTTTTCTCTCAAGAAGAAGATAATGAATTTTTAGGACTTAAAAGGATACCCTACCCAGCCAATTGGCATGCAGTTACAGTGCCTGAACAGGTACCAACCTTTTTTTAACATCTTTAAAATCTATGTTTATTACTCAATTTCTAATTCACTTTTTCCCTGGGGGAGCTTAAGGCTGGATGCTGGCCTAAAACCTTGTGATGAAGACTTGACCAGAAAAAAAAAACCTCATCTAAAATAATGCAGGCAGTTCAAGGGCTGGCTGGGATTTGAAACACAACACCATACTCCTGTGGTGGGATTCAATTATTTTTTACTACCAGTTCTGTGGCCGTGACTTTGTGGGCGTGGTGTGGCTTTGTGGGTGTGGCAGGGGAAGGATACTGCAAAATCCCTATTCCCTCCCAACCCCACTGACCTGCTTTCCAGCTCCATTCTCCTGTTCAGGGCAACAAAAGAAGATCAGCTGGGAGGCTAGGAGGCAGCAGGGGTAGGGCCAGTCTATTTGCTGCTACTTCGAACGACTCAAAATTTCTGCTACCGGTTCTCTAGAACCTGTCAGAACTAGCTGAATACCACCACTGACATACTCCCATTCACAATCAAATTTTCCTGAGATACTAGCATGATTTAAAAAGTAGAGTTCATCAGAGATTATTTATAGGACTTTGGATCTACTTAATTTTTCTCTTCCATGATATCCAGAAATATCAAAATAATAAGTTTTTTAGGCAGAATTGTAAAAACATTTCAGAACTCTCAGTCTGAAGATCATGTTTTATAACCAGAATTTATCTAGGATGGGTCTGGTACCAAGGGATTTAAATTATGATGCTTATGTTTAACTAGTTAATGCTTTTTGGGGTGTATAAGAATGGTTTCTCCAGTCTTAAGCTGTGCAAAAAAGAAAACGATCATATATTCACTTTCAGAATTGAGTAGAAAATGAGGGTTTCTAAAAAAATCAGAAATCAGAAAGAAATCAGAATATAGTGCAATCTAATTTGGTGAATGTAAAGCCTTTATTTTATATATACATATACATATACATATACATATACATATACATATACATA